GGCTGCTCTGTATGTGTTTGCTACTGTATTAGTAAGGGCTACTGTGTGAGCAGTAGTTCCTATGTTTGCTGGACTGCTTTATGTGACAGCTTTGTTAGCTGCTGCCTTGTAAGGCTACTTTGAAGAATTGTTTTGTCTAATGGCTCCTTGTTAGCAATGGCTACATAGTCTGCAATAAAGCCTCTCTTATACACCTATGACGGCTCATTACTTCTTCATCTCATACCCGGTGCCCATGAAGGTCCAGTCCCTGCCCGAGGGACTCGGACACAACAGTTGGCATAGTCGGCAGGATGAAGGAGTGAGTACTTCCCAACAGACAGTTACTTGAATTAACTTGTAAGACAGCATCTGGCAGACAAAGGGAAGCTACCCTCTAATAATTTTCTAGCTGTTGATTGGTACAGAGCGGTGGAGAAGGTACAAGGCATTGGTATGTGGGGCACATGAGCCACGGGTGTCTGTATGCACATTGAACATATCTGATGGGGTGTACCCTGGAACTGGTGTTGAGAGTCAAATAAGCAAAATATTCTCCTTATTTTTTGATGATTAGTAGTTAATACATTTAAAATGTAGACCGAAACTTTATAGTAAATAGGGGGCAAAAGGTTTGAATGAAATATTACCTTGAAAAGTAATGCTAAAATTATAAAACTTTATTTTATAACATTTTTTAAATTATAAAGAACTAATGTAATGCCTTATTACCCAAGTTCATAACTATGTAATTACTAGGGGCCCAATGCACGAATTTGTGCACCTTGAAAGGAACTGTGGGCTGCGAGGCTGTGGTAGGCACAGGGGTGGGTCTCGGCCTATCCTCAGCGCCCCGCCTGGCCCCTCCCCCTGTGGTCCCTGGTCCCCTATCTGCCGGCAGTTTCACTCTTGCCGCCGCTGCTCCCATGTGCTCATGGTGCCGGCAGGGGGAGGTGGAGAAGCCCTGAGGGGCGATTGGGCCCGGCAGCCGCTGCTTGCACCCACTGATGGCACTGAGCAATTGAGACTGGCACCCGGCGCCAGCAGTGGGTGCGAGCGGTGGTTCTGGCGCCAGCAGCGGATATGAGTGGGGCTGGCACCAGCAACAGGTGCAAGCGCCGGGCAGGACCGTGGTGTGAGGGAGCAAAGAATTTTCAGTAACCACCAGAGGCTCGCTCACCTGGTCCACCATCCTGCAGCAGCTGACGCCTGCTATGTTCCGCATACGCCCCCTGGTGGTCAGCGCACGTCATAGGAACTGGTTATTTGGTTGTTCCACCATTCAGTCTATTTGCATATTAGCCTTTTATTATAGAGGATTCATATTGTGTGCTTTCAAGTTGGTATAATATGACCTGGTATTCCAGTATGATCTTCTGAGAAGTTAGTGTAAGTTGTTGTAAAACCTCTGTTGTAATATCTTCTGTTTCTTTTAGTCGGCACAGAACCTGCCTATTCCTGCCTCCCCCCACTCCAGTGTCCCAAGGAAAGAGTGGCATCAGTTGGCAGGCTGTTTGATATTCAGAAAGGAGTGGCTGATTAGCCAATGGGAAGGGTAGCGGTTGTACGCCAATTACCATGTTTCTCTTTTATTAGTGTAGATAGGGGGCAAAAGGTTTGAATGAAATATTACCTTGAAAAGTAATGCTGAAATTATAAAACTTTATTTTATAACATTTTTAAATTATAAAGAACTAATGTAATGCCTTATTACCCAAGTTCATAACTATGTAATTACTAGGGGCCCAATGCACGAATTTGTGCACCTTGAAAGGAACTGTGGGCTGCGAGGCTGTGGTAGGCACAGGGGTGGGTCTCGGCCTATCCTCAGCGCCCCGCCTGGCCCCTCCCCCTGTGGTCCCTGGTCCCCTATCTGCCGGCAGTTTCACTCTTGCCGCCGCTGCTCCCATGTGCTCATGGTGCCGGCCCCACTCGCACCCACTGAAGGCATAGAGCAATTAGGGCCGGCACCAGCAGTGGGTACCAGCAGGGCCAACACCGTTAGCGGGTGCGAGCTGCTATTGCTGCTCCGATCGCCCCTCAGGAGCAGGGAGAGGTGGAGAAGCCCTCAGGGGCGATCAGGGTCTGCAGCCACTGCTTGCACCTGCTGATGGTACCAAGCAATTGGACCAGCGCCAGGCACCAGCAACAGGTGCCAGCGGTGGCTCTGGCGCCGGCTGCACCATTCAGTCTATTTGCATATTAGCCTTTTATTATAGAGGATTCATATTGTGTGCTTTCAAGTTGGTATAATATGACCTGGTATTCCAGTATGATCTTCTGAGAAGTTAGTGTAAGTTGTTGTAAAACCTCTGTTGTAATATCTTCTGTTTCTTTTAGTCGGCACAGAACCTGCCTATTCCTGCCTCCCCCCACTCCAGTGTCCCAAGGAAAGAGTGGCATCAGTTGGCAGGCTGTTTGATATTCAGAAAGGAGTGGATTTTACACTGTTGGAATCTGCACACCATGGGAAAATACTTTTTGGTTGAAAATAGATTTTAAAATGTGTAACTTGTTATGGGAACAATTGATAGGAAGACAGGAAAGTTTCTGTGATAAAATTTTGAAAGCTCAGTCTTTTAGCAGCATTTTCCTTTGATTTTCTTAATTGACTGAATTCTTAGTAACCACAAATTGAGACTACAGCTGCCGCTGCAGGTAGACTGCCAGCCTGCCTTCAAGTTAAGCGTTCTGTAAGCTGGGACAGGCGGATGCTTATCGTCTATGAACTACGGCAGGTGCAGACTATGAGACTTAGTCACTTCCTCTTTCACCCTGTCAACATCTCATTTGCTTTATGATTAGTTGTCTTTTCTGCTTTTCCTGCTACAATATGAACTTTTTGGAACAGGCACCACATCTTTTAAACTTTTGTTTCCCAGCACGTACCTTCTCATGGGTACTTCCTAAGTGCTTTGAAGCGAATCTACTCGTTCCTAAGACTTGTTTTCTAGCACATCAATCCAAAAATGTGGTCATATCTGGATATATTAAAGAGAATTCTTTTCCTTTATGTTTTTTTTTTTAATACATCTCTAGGTCAAGTATAGCACATCAATCCAAAAATGTGGTCATATCTGGATATGTTAAAGAGAATTCTTTTCCTTTATGTTTTTTTTTTTTTTAATACATCTCTAGGTCAAGTGGAGCCTATTAACTTAAATTGGATAAGTCAGCCGCTTATCCTCTTGTAGCATATTTTCATCTGATTTTTACGATGCAGGGGAAAGTAAAAAATTGTGTAAATGTGGGTATGATGCACATTACTTATTTGATTCATTTATTAAAACTGGTGGCAGTAGCCCTAGCTGGTTTTGCTCAGTGGATAGAGCATCGACCTGCGGACTGAAGGGTCCTGGGTTCGATTCCAGTCAAGGGCACATGCCTGGGTTGCAGGCTTGATCCCCAGTAGGGGGCATGCAGGAGGCAGCCAGTCAATGATTCTTTCTCATCATTGATGTTTCTATCTGTCTCTCCCTCTCCCTTCCTCTCTGAAATCAATAAAAACATTAAAAAAAACAAAAAACTGGTGGCAGTGCTTTTAGGGCAACTTCTTTCGTTCTCTTCAGTATTCTCAATGTCAGCATGTGGTGCTTCATTGAACTGACTTGTATGTTTTTACTTTTCTCTGGATTACATTGAAACCACGTGGGAATTCCTCCCCATTTGCTTTCTTTTTTAAATGCTACGTTTGGTCTTTGTATATTTTAATTGCATTTTTCTCTTGTTTCAAACCAAGGGAACCAAAGCTCCTTTCGAAATATATGCCTTTTTGTGTGTTTTGAGTCAAGATGTTTTTAATGAAATTTAGGGTAGGATGAGTAAAAATCTTGGGATAAACTGATTTTTATATCTATTGTTTCAGTGTCTAAAGGCTGATCAGGGATTCTTATCCTGAGATTCTTGGATGTTTTCTCAGAGTGCACAAGCCTGAAATGTGCTTACTGTGTGGGTGTGTGTGTGTATACACACATACATTTACAAGAGTTGGCAAAAGTGGGTTTACAGTTTTGAGTACCCAAAACACAGTTTATAGTTGTATTATTACTTATTTTCGTGTTATATGTTTTTGACTGCCATTTTTCATGTTTGTTGTTTCTAGTGCAGTGGGTCTTTGATTAGCAGCCCCTCCTCACCCGGTACCCTCACACATGTTGTTTCTTACAATTCCTCATTTGACTGGGCGATTTGATAACCTGGCTTGAGTGAGTTATTGAGGGACACTGTGAGTGATGGCCCGAGGAGACAACAGTGGAGTGAAGTGCTTGGGCTTTGTAACAGCTGTTCTTGATATTCGGTGGTCTGTTTCCCTTCCATCTGCTTTTGGAATTGAATTCTGGAGGATTCATGGGGCTAGATCGGTGATGGCGAACCTTTTGAGCTCGGCGTGTCAGCATTTTGAAAAACCCTAACTTAACTCTGGTGCTGTGTCACATATAGAAATTTTTTGATATTTGCAACCATAGTAAAACAAAGACTTATATTTTTGATATTTATTTTATATATTTAAATGCCATTTAACAAAGAAAAATCAACCAAAAAAATGAGTTCGCGTGTCACCTCTGACAAGCGTGTCATAGGTTCGCCATCACTGCCTTAGACAGTGGTTCTCAACCTTCTGGCCCTTTAAATACAGTTCCTCATGTTGTGACCCGGGGCTAGGCTATGATCCCGTGTAAGTGAAGGCCTATGGAGGGGGCTAGGCTATGATCCCGTGTAAGTGAAGGCCTATGGAGGGGCTAGGCTATGATCCTGTGTAAGTGAAGGCATATAGAATTCTCATTCTCTTGCAATTGTCACAGATTCACCTGTTCTGAGTAAATGCTGCCCTTCCTTATGACTAAAGTTTTACTCTTTATATTTTAATTACGAAAGATTTGGGGACATTTTCTAAAACGACTGTAATAAAATATAACAAAAAAGCATTCAAACTTTAGATATTGCATTGCTTGCTTTTCCCTACTCTCATTGGGTGAATGCGCATTTGTTTCTGGCTGGTACTCATTTCTCTTGGTCATTAGGTTGCCCCCAGTGATGAAGCTGTGGTGACATTATTGTGTGAATGGGCTGTGAGCTGTAAACGGTCCGGCAAGCACAGGGCGATGGCAGTGGCGAAACTCTTGGAGAAGAGGCAAGCGGAAATCGAGGCCGAGGTGGGTGTTCCTGTCTGCTTGTTGAATGCCATCATTTAAACATTATGTTTTGGGAAGGATTCTTTTTTCTTATCCTCATTATACTGTATTTTTTCTTTTAAAGGAAAAAGGGAGAATGTACAAATTCATGGCAGGATCTCTCTAAGATTCTCTGTTAACGAAGTCAATAGTTCATATACTGGACTAACTTACAATTATCTTTTATTTTTATTTTTTCTCTATTGATTAAGGTACTACATATGTGTCCATATCCCCCATTGTCTCTCCCCCCAACCCCCTACTCTTGCCCTCTCCTCCCTGGTGTCTGTGTCCATTGGTTAGGCTTATATGCATGCATACACGTCCTTTGGTTAATCTCTCCCCCTTACCCCTACCTTCCCCTACCTTCCCTCTGAGGTTTGACAGTCTGATCGATGCTTCTCTGTCTCTGGATCTGTTTTTGTTCATCATTTTATGTTGTTCATTAGATTTCACAAATGAGTGAGATCATGTGACATTATCTTTCTCTGACTGGCTTATTTTGCTTAGCATATGCTCTCCAGTTCCATCCATGCTGTTGCAAATGGTAAGAATTCCTTCTTTTTTACCACAGCATGGTATTCCATTGTGTAGATGTACCATTGTTTTTTAATCCACTCATCTGCTGATGGGCACTTAGCCTGTTTCCAAATCTTAGCTATGGTGAATTGTGCTGCTATGAACATAGGGGTGCATATATCCTTTCTGATTGGTGTTTCTGGCTTCTTGGGATATATTCCTAGAAGTGGGATCACTGGGTCAAATGGGAGTTCCATTTTTAGTTTTTTGAGGAAGCTCCATACTGTTCTCCACAGTGGCTGCACCAGTCTGCATTCCCACCACCAGTGCACGAGGGTTCCTTTTTCTCTGCATCCTCGCCAGCACTTGTCGTTTGTTGAACAATTATCTTTTAAAACAAAATTTAATATCTAAGAACAAAGAACTCTTCCTTTGCGAGGTTAAGATACATACACACAAGTATATATATATATATCTTATTATATATGTTTGTGTATATATTTTTATATTATGGATTTTAAAGCCACATAATATTTTAGTGGAACCAGAAGTGCTTTGCGTATGAATTTATAGGTAGCAGTTTGTATTATTTTTTGAGATTGTGTTCTGGCCCCAGAGAAGGCAATTATGGCCTCAGCAGTAGATTATTATGGGAAAACAGAGCTAGCTTCATAAACATGAGCTTTTGTTGAAGGGAACATTTTTAAGCGAGCCTCTTTTTGTGCCTGTGAAATTCTGCAGGGTCAGCTCTGGAGAAGGTGTGATTTGACCAGGCCACTTCCTCTCTCACCTCGACACCTGTTGGGCCTCCTACCTTGTTTCTTCATAGCTAGACCCGTCTTTTCAAAGTGGGAACAGATCACACTGTCCCCTTACTAAAATTCCATGGTGGGTCCTTACATGGCCCACAGAGCCTCGAGGGCTGCCCTACCTGCCTCTCCCCCCGCCATCTCCTACCTTTTTCCTCTGGACACACACGACTGCAGTCGCCTTGGACTTTCTGTCCCTCCATCACTCCAAACTTGCTTTTATCTTTGTGTCTTTGCCCCTGCTGTTTCTTCTGGTGGCACACCCTGCTCCCCAATTTTCACATGGCCAGTTTCTTTCTGCCATTCCTATTTCAGAAAGTGTCACTGTCTTTGTAGCATTCCCAGCTCAACATGTGTCACCTCCTCAGTCACTCTTCTCACATCACTCTGTTTTACTTTCCTCAGTGGCTTATTGTTTAACGCCTGCCTGCCTCTGGGATGTAAGCTCAACAATAGGAACCCGAGTACCCAGAGTAGTGCTCAGTGCATAGTAGATGCTCAATAAATGTTGCATGAATGGATGAGCACTTAGCTGGCTCTCTGTTACTGACAATGCACCTACTTCCTATGAAGCTATTAAAAAACGAAATAGGAAGGATGTTTTCATTGATATCTCTTTTGGGAAGGTACCGTTCACCAGATACAAAAGATCATGTTGTTGAAATTGGGGCTTGAAGATATTGATATTAAGGTGTAAGACATGAGCCCATTTTGCAATGTGCAAATTAGGAAAAGTGTTTCATTGCTTTTTTTCTATACATTTATGAATAGACTATTCTACAGTGAATTGAAATGATAAAAGTTTAGTAACTAAAGTTGAATTTCTCAGATTTCATTGTTGCTTCTGGATTGTTGTTGTCATTCCCTCCCTCCACCCAGTGTGTCCCAGAATGAACACACACACACACACACACACACACACACACACACACACACAATCAATTTCAGAAGAGGTTCACACACATTGCTTTGTAATTTTAATAAGTGTAACTGTATTCTTTCAGAGATGTTTAAGATAATTGATTTCTAATAAACATCAAAATTTGACCTTTGTAAAGAAAGGATGGCTTGGAGAAATATGTTAATATAGTCATTAATAACTTAATATTGAAGAATAAGGATCAAAGGGATATTGAAGAGAATAAAAAACGAGGATCTGATTGCTTCTAAACTGTTTCTTTTCTGGTTTTCTACTAAGTTTTATCTTTTTTTAAAAATTAATAATTCATTTAAAGAATAGTTTATTGATTTTTAGAAAGAAAAGATGGGAGAGGGAGAGGAAGAGAAAGAGAGAAACATCAATGTGAGAGGGTAACATTGATTGGCTGCCTCCTGCATGTCCCCTATGAGGATTGAGCCTGAAACTCCGGACATGTGCCCTGACCAGGAATCGAACCGGCAATCTCTCAGTGCTCGGGATGACACCCACCTGAGCCACACCAGCCAGGGCAGTAAGTTCTATTTTAGGAGTACACAGGTTGAACAGCTTCTCTAGATGTGTTTCATGAACTGTGGAGAGTCCCAGAGGTTCTGAGAGATCTCATTGGTAAAATGTGATGAATAAGTGAAAGAACCTTATTGGGGGAATTATGTTAGCTTTCTTATTCCACACCACACTTCTCCACAAACACTTGTAAATACCCCCACCTGACCAAAACAAACACAAAAGAATGGAACTCAATAATACATTGCCAAACATTTCTTAGGGGGAATACAGTTAAGCATGAGCTATTTAAAAATGATGACCTCAAATTATTTTTAGCAGTTGGTACAGGAATACTGAGTAGTGTATTTTGTACTATGTTGTGTATTTAATGGATGCTCATACAGTACTGTGTAGAGTTTATAATTCAGATGAATAATGTTTTTCAGGGGTATGGTTTGAAATCATTTCAATTGTTCTGGATTAGCTTCCTGAACTTGTAAAATTATATTTACCTACTATGCATGGCCTACAAATATATAGAGAAATCTCAATTAATTTATATTTTATCTGAGAACTTAAATGTTAATGAGAAACTAACCTATTCATGACCGACTGTGACCATACTTGTCCTTTATAACTTATTGTGCTTGTTTACTTTTAATCTTTAGAGATGTGGGGAGTCAGAGGTCTTAGATGAGAAGGAGTCCATTTCTTCTGCGTCTCTTGCTGGATCTAGTTTGCCTGTTTTCCAGAATGTTCTGCTAAGGTTTTTAGATACACAGGCCCCCTCATTGTGTAAGTAAATCTCTTTGCTTTTAGATCTTAAATAAGGGAATGGCCTCCACCCCCTTCTTTTAAAGCTGTTTCTTCTTTCTTTAAATTTTTATTTGCATCTTATCAAAAGTTCTTGGCACTGAATATAATGTATATTTTACTGAACAAAATTTTGTGGCATGTTTTCAATGGATATTTTTGTGCAATTTTAAAATTAGGTGAACTTCAAAGGTTTAAAATTTTGTAGAGTTTAAAAATAAAGTGCCTCCTTCCTTTGTAATTAGTGGACTAATTTTCCCTTTATAGATCTTTCTTACCAAAATAGAGGAGCTAAGATGTTTCACTGTATATTGTGATTTGGAAATTTCTCTTTTCAAACCATTTTCTACATTTTTTATTTTCTAACTTTGCATCTTAAAAGGTGGGTAGAGGGTGGGAATCAAATAACAGTACTTTATAACAAGGTCCTAGATACAAGGAAATTATTTGTAAAGATGGTTGGCTGCTTGCTAACTCTCTCTTGGATGTTCATGTCATCTTATATTCTTTTTCTTTTATTCTGTAGTTGGTGGCAAGTTGAGGGTTTGGGGAATAAACCACCCAGTAGGTTCATACTGTGGGTGCCACTTTAAAAAATCTTTGTGTGAGCTAAATGGGCTTGATCTTATTCTGAGGCTTTTATGTGTCAGAGTACAGCAGGGAGGGTCTTAGGATAGATAGTGATACAACAACAGAAAAATGGCAAAGAGTGAAAAGTGATAGAAAAGGGAGAAAGAGTGGAGAGGGAGGGGAAGGAAGATGTTTGTGAAAAAGAAAAAGGTAAAGCATCTAAAAATAGCCCTGCTTCCAGTTCCTCTGAGAAGGGCCTCCTTTTGGGTTGAGTGATGCCTGGGGGTCTTTAGTTATTTTGTGGCTGGTCGAGTTCAGAGGAAGAGAAAGAGTTGGAGTCAAGCTGATGGTTGGAATGTAGGGAGAGAAATGAAACATGGAAGTGAAGCAGGGAAATGAGAAGACAGGAGATACACCGGATAGAAAGTATATTGCCAGTAGTGGAAATTAGCAGCTGTAACGTCTCTCGTGTCCGGGGGAGACACATGTTTGCCCTGGGCTTCCTTGTCCGACCCACTCCTGTTCTCTCTCTGGGAAATACGTCCTTCTCTGCCACTGCTTGTTCTGGATTCCATTTTCTGTCAGAGAAGCTGCTTGTGTCTCCGTGCAGAGGCTGCTGTATTGAATGTGGTGGTGGATGAGAACAGACATTTAGGTGTCAGGTTTAATGTTCCCTAGATGGTCTGTTCGTCTCTGTGTTTGCAAATGTGCTGGGACCGGGGCTGAGCTTTGCAGGGTTAGTCTTAACGTTTTTAACCTCTCAAAGGTACAGATACAAAGTTTTAGAGTGCAGTTACAATATTAAAAGTCATAATGTAAATTAAATAGACTGGTTATGAATTTAAAAAGACAGAAGAGCTTCTGTCTATGCTCTTTGAATTTCATTTTCCCTTTTTCTTTTCAGTGGATCCCGCTCATTTTTTAAATTTTAATTACCATTTGAATTGTGGTTCTGTTGTGAAATCTCCTTGGGAAAAATGTATAATGTGCCCCACAAATACACAGACACACTCAAACTCTGAAAGCAGCCACAAGCAGTTTTAGTGATAAAACCAAAGGACAGCAATCTTGGCCCGTGTTTTTGTTTTGTTTTGTTTTTAACTTCAAATTCTGTGTGTTTATATTATTATTTAAATGACTATTCATTTGCCAGGGCCCACTATCTTTAAACTTGAAGTTGTACTTAGCATACTGGATAGTATTTTTAATTGCAGTGGGACAGTCAAAACCTGTGAGCCATTTCTATACAAAACAATAGTGCCTCATAGGAAATTTGGCAATAATCGTTGATTTTGTAAAAAAAAAAATTGTGAAAAGTGGTGCTAATATTGTTAAGCCTTAGCAATATTTTTATAAAATTTATTTAACTTTTAACGAGATCAGTGGAAACTAAATTTTTGATGGAATTGTTTCTATAGCGGATCCAAACAGTGAATGTGAGAAGGCGGAGTTTGTGAACCTGGTGCTTCTCTTCTGCGAGTTCATCCGGCACGATGTCTTCTCTCACGACGCTTACATGTGCACCCTCATCTCCCGAGGAGACCTGTCCGTCACCTCCTCCACTCGGCCACGGTCGCCTTCGGGAGAAAATGCAGATGAGCACTACCCCAAGGACCATGACATGAAGATGGAGGTATGGCCCTGGGAGGGTGTGCCTGCTCCCCTCATTTCCCCAACCCCCTCTGAAGGATGTGTGATGGAAGGGTGATCACTTTTTTTAAAAAAAAATACATATTTTATTGATTTTTTTACAGAGAGGAGTACAGGAATACTGAGTAGTGTATTTTGTACTATGTTGTGTATTTAATGGATGCTCATACAGTACTGTGTAGAGTTTATAATTCAGATGAATAATGTTTTTCAGGGGTATGGTTTGAAATCATTTCAATTGTTCTGGATTAGCTTCCTGAACTTGTAAAATTATATTTACCTACTATGCATGGCCTACAAATATATAGAGAAATCTCAATTAATTTATATTTTATCTGAGAACTTAAATGTTAATGAGAAACTAACCTATTCATGACCGACTGTGACCATACTTGTCCTTTATAACTTATTGTGCTTGTTTACTTTTAATCTTTAGAGATGTGGGGAGTCAGAGGTCTTAGATGAGAAGGAGTCCATTTCTTCTGCGTCTCTTGCTGGATCTAGTTTGCCTGTTTTCCAGAATGTTCTGCTAAGGTTTTTAGATACACAGGCCCCCTCATTGTGTAAGTAAATCTCTTTGCTTTTAGATCTTAAATAAGGGAATGGCCTCCACCCCCTTCTTTTAAAGCTGTTTCTTCTTTCTTTAAATTTTTATTTGCATCTTATCAAAAGTTCTTGGCACTGAATATAATGTATATTTTACTGAACAAAATTTTGTGGCATGTTTTCAATGGATATTTTTGTGCAATTTTAAAATTAGGTGAACTTCAAAGGTTTAAAATTTTGTAGAGTTTAAAAATAAAGTGCCTCCTTCCTTTGTAATTAGTGGACTAATTTTCCCTTTATAGATCTTTCTTACCAAAATAGAGGAGCTAAGATGTTTCACTGTATATTGTGATTTGGAAATTTCTCTTTTCAAACCATTTTCTACATTTTTTATTTTCTAACTTTGCATCTTAAAAGGTGGGTACAGGGTGGGAATCAAATAACAGTACTTTATAACAAGGTCCTAGATACAAGGAAATTATTTGTAAAGATGGTTGGCTGCTTGCTAACTCTCTCTTGGATGTTCATGTCATCTTATATTCTTTTTCTTTTATTCTGTAGTTGGTGGCAAGTTGAGGGTTTGGGGAATAAACCACCCAGTAGGTTCATACTGTGGGTGCCACTTTAAAAAATCTTTGTGTGAGCTAAATGGGCTTGATCTTATTCTGAGGCTTTTATGTGTCAGAGTACAGCAGGGAGGGTCTTAGGATAGATAGTGATACAACAACAGAAAAATGGCAAAGAGTGAAAAGTGATAGAAAAGGGAGAAAAAGAGTAGAGGGAGGGGAAGGAAGATGTTTGTGAAAAAGAAAAAGGTAAAGCATCTAAAAATAGCCCTGCTTCCAGTTCCTCTGAGAAGGGCCTCCTTTTGGGTTGAGTGATGCCTGGGGGTCTTTAGTTATTTTGTGGCTGGTCGAGTTCAGAGGAAGAGAAAGAGTTGGAGTCAAGCTGATGGTTGGAATGTAGGGAGAGAAATGAAACATGGAAGTGAAGCAGGGAAATGAGAAGACAGGAGATACACCGGATAGAAAGTATATTGCCAGTAGTGGAAATTAGCAGCTGTAACGTCTCTCGTGTCCGGGGGAGACACATGTTTGCCCTGGGCTTCCTTGTCCGACCCACTCCTGTTCTCTCTCTGGGAAATACGTCCTTCTCTGCCACTGCTTGTTCTGGATTCCATTTTCTGTCAGAGAAGCTGCTTGTGTCTCCGTGCAGAGGCTGCTGTATTGAATGTGGTGGTGGACGAGAACAGACATTTAGGTGTCAGGTTTAATGTTCCCTAGATGGTCTGTTCGTCTCTGTGTTTGCAAATGTGCTGGGACCGGGGCTGAGCTTTGCAGGGTTAGTCTTAACGTTTTTAACCTCTCAAAGGTACAGATACAAAGTTTTAGAGTGCAGTTACAATATTAAAAGTCATAATGTAAATTAAATAGACTGGTTATGAATTTAAAAAGACAGAAGAGCTTCTGTCTATGCTCTTTGAATTTCATTTTCCCTTTTTCTTTTCAGTGGATCCCGCTCATTTTTTAAATTTTAATTACCATTTGAATTGTGGTTCTGTTGTGAAATCTCCTTGGGAAAAATGTATAATGTGCCCCACAAATACACAGACACACTCAAACTCTGAAAGCAGCCACAAGCAGTTTTAGTGATAAAACCAAAGGACAGCAATCTTGGCCCGTGTTTTTGTTTTGTTTTGTTTTTAACTTCAAATTCTGTGTGTTTATATTATTATTTAAATGACTATTCATTTGCCAGGGCCCACTATCTTTAAACTTGAAGTTGTACTTAGCATACTGGATAGTATTTTTAATTGCAGTGGGACAGTCAAAACCTGTGAGCCATTTCTATACAAAACAATAGTGCCTCATAGGAAATTTGGCAATAATCGTTGATTTTGTAAAAAAAAAAATTGTGAAAAGTGGTGCTAATATTGTTAAGCCTTAGCAATATTTTTATAAAATTTATTTAACTTTTAACGAGATCAGTGGAAACTAAATTTTTGATGGAATTGTTTCTATAGCGGATCCAAACAGTGAATGTGAGAAGGCGGAGTTTGTGAACCTGGTGCTTCTCTTCTGCGAGTTCATCCGGCACGATGTCTTCTCTCACGACGCTTACATGTGCACCCTCATCTCCCGGGGAGACCTGTCCGTCACCTCCTCCACTCGGCCACGGTCGCCTTCGGGAGAAAATGCAGATGAGCACTACCCCAAGGACCATGACATGAAGATGGAGGTATGGCCCTGGGAGGGTGTGCCTGCTCCCCTCATTTCCCCAACCCGCTCCGAAGGATGTGTGATGGAAGGGTGATCACTTTTTAAAAAAAATACATATTTTATTGATTTTTTTACAGAGAGGAAGGGAGAGGGATAGAGCGTTAGAAACATCGATGAGAGAGAAACATCGATCAGCTGCCTCCTGCACATTTCCCACTGGGGATGTGCCTGCAACCAAGGTACATGCCCTTGACTGGAATCGAACCTGGGACCCTTCAGTCCGCAGGCGGACGCTCTATCCACTGAGCCAAACCAGTCAGGGCTGGTGATCACTTTTTAATTGTATTCTCTTGTTTCAAAGCTCATGTATCTCTACTTCCGCTCACAAAAAAACAGACTATAATTTACATCTTCCAGAGTTTTCTTTTGGATACTCTAAAACTAATAATGAAAAGATTTGACAGGCCATAATATTTTTCTTTGGATTAGAAATATGTGCTTCCAGTTTTATGTATTTCTAATCCCCAGTTTCCTTTAATGTTTGTCTCAAAAATGGACTTGTTTTGACCCTAAAGTCCTGGTTTAGTGTTCATTCTAAGGAGCATCTTCCCTGATGTATTTTGTTCATTAATTGTACCAGTCTTTTATACATAGTGGGAAATTCTGTGTTAGTCTTAACACATTATGTCTTCATTCAATGAATGAAAAATTTAATATCTATTTCTCAAATGTTTTAAAGTTAAGTTGTTCTTTTCAACAAATTATTTTATGCAGTGAGTATGAATTTATAATTTTCTGCCAATTTCTGATATTTTGGACATTGTTCCAGATACTTATTGAAATTTTCAAGGCAAAAAAACATGAAGTTGGTGATGGGAAATAGTAGAAAATGGTGAGAGATTATGACAATTCCTTAACAATAAAACCTCATGTTGGTTGTATGAGAGTTTAAGTATATAATATTATATTTTTTAAACCAGCACCTATACTTGTAATTTAAAAACCTGACATTAGAATTATACACATTGATTCATAGTTTATACTCTTAAGATTTGGTGACTAAATGGTATAGGAATTTAAAAAAATCTTTAGTGTAAATACGTTTGTTTCTAAATTTGTCCACAGTATAAGTTATATAGGGTGAAAAAATTAAAGTACTTTACCTGTTTAGGCTTTTTCTATGTTTCTGATTTTTCTTTTTTGTTCTTCAATATCAAGATATCTTATAGCTTAGATTTTTCTTACTAAGAAAATTTGGTGAGCATGTGACTGGGAATAGCCCAGGGAAGGAGATTATGGTCAGTTTGTTTTTATCAGAACGTTCCTGTGCTCTTCCCTTAAAAAAATCATGGAAGTTGAATCTTTCTCATCATGAGGACAAAGAGTGTGACTTTCCAAAGCAATGCATACCTTAAACCTTCTTTATTTTTGGAAAAGACACGAAGAGGAAATAAGAGGGTGGTTACAAATGTTACTGTCCTGCTTTAGCATCAGTTTCTTAATGAGCTACACTATCTACCATGTGACTTCCTTTCTCTGACCATCATCAGGGACAGACTGTTATGGCACATATGGGTATTGGCTCAGGAACTATTGATCTTTTTGATGAAGTAGACGAGTGACTTTAAAACTGACTTGGGTTCGCAATTCCCAGTAGGTTAACCATGGAATTATTATTGACTATGAATCCCTCCCCGACCCCGACCTCAGCTGGGCTCTGCCCTCTGTTTCTTGCTCAGGCACTGGAATGACCTGTGTACTTGCGATGTAAATGTGACCCCAGCACATTCCTCCCCAGGGCACAGTCCATCAGCTCTGCAGTTGTTTCCTGATGGTTCATCCTCGGTTTCATCTGTACTGCCTCCTTGGGAAATTTAACACTCCTGCCCTCCTAGACCTTTTGTTCCTTTTGAGATCGGCATCTCTCAGGAAAAAGGAGTGTAGTAGTTTCATCAGGACAGTGCATGTTGATTTGCCGCATATGTGTTTAGCTTCTAAATAGTAGCTTTCCTGGCTCTGGACTTGCTATACATTCTTTTACTTTATCTAAGTATAATTATGTGCTCTTCCCCATGAATCTTAATGAGTCCCTCTTTATAAAAAATATTGTTTCCTCTTTATGTTATTCATTAGCTTGTTAACTATTTCAGTGCATGTGTTTTTGTAGGAAATGTAGCCCTAAGAGGAAAACACTGACCTGTAGTCTGATCTGTCTCTGGCCCCCCAGGAAATACAGCTGGGCCCATTTCTCATGTGTGTGGTCGTCATGGTCTCATCTTCAAAATGGCGGATGATGGCGACAGCTTCCTAGTGATCTGAATATGAAGTTTATGGAAATAAACACAATTTCTGTATATATTTTGCTCAGTGGTTAAATAAGGAAAGGATATTGTTTGAGTGTTTTGTGTGTTGGAAGCTCTGTATGCAGTTCTGGTGTTGGCTTCACTCTCTTTCATTTATAACCTCCGCCATTTGCTTTACACGACTTAGATTTTTTCTCCTATGCCTGGGGAGTCCTGTGAGATCATCAACCCTTCCTTGGGCAGAAGGATGTCAGTTAATGGTGAGAAGCTGCTGAAGAGAGAAAAACCAAGAGAGTTGATTTTTCCATCTAATTATGACCTCCTGCGACACCTGCAGTATGCAACACATTTTCCCATACCTCTGGTAAGTCAGCGCGTCAGTCAGTTGACAACCTGATTATTTCATTAGAGGATGATGAGCCATTGACTATTCAACTACTTGCCTGAGCAGTACATGTGATAGCAGGTGAGTGTTTGTATTCATTGCTTCTTTTGTTATAACTCTGACCATATGGTTTATGTACTGATGAGTGCCCATGTGCGGTGTGGTACTACTAGCGGACTAGATTTAACAGAATTTACTATATTAATGTCATTTTATTGAGCATTTGAGTCACTGCAAATAATGGCTAAATTTGTTTTCCTACTTCAATTTGAAACTCATTTATCGAGTAGCATTTATGTGCACTGTATTGTGGTAGTTACTTTTGGTATTATGAAGATGAATAACAATTTATGGACACAGGAAAGATGAATAAGATAGGAGGAGACTAATGTCTATAAAATGACAAGCATTAAAAAGTACAATGAGTAAAAACCCAAGTGCCCACTGGAAGGTGAACCATTTGACATTTTTGGGTTTCTTCCACTCTCCAAGAGTAAATATTGGAAGGGAGAGAGAGATCTGATTGAGAAATTGGTTAGGGCTTCATGGAAGAGGCTGTATGTGAGATGGATTTGGATTTTGACCTGTTGAATTTAAGAACTGAAGAGCACATGGGAAATACTTGCCAGGAAATTTAGTGTGTGAATTATAAAGAGTGAAGTGCTCTATTTTAAAGGGAAACAAGTTTAGTTTTTGTTATTAGTAATGAAGATTGGGCCAAGATCTGTAAATGTTTTTATTCTTAGGTTCACTATCATTTTTTTCTGGGATTTTAAGTATAATTTTAATGAGTAAATCTCATTGAACACTATTATTATTTTAGCAAAAATATAATTTTAGGTATGCATTATGTTATTTCCTGGATATCTTTGAGGAGTTTTGATCTGCAGACTAAATATTTTATTACATTTGTTTATTTATTGATTGATTGATTGGTTATTTTGGAACTTCCTCTGAAATGACTTTCAAAATCACTACACCCATGTATTTTTTCCCCTTTATTAAATTAAGAACCCTTTTTTTGGTGTGAACTTTTCTATGTCCAGGGTTATGTCAAAAGTTGCCATAATTTTTTCGTGTTCATTACTGACTGACTGTATCAACATTATTTTTTTTAATCTTCACTCGAGGATATTTTTGCCATTGATTTTTAGAGAGAGTGGAAGGGAGAAGGAGAAACAGAGAGAAACATTGATGTGAGAGAGACACATCAGTTGGTTGTCTCCCACATGCCCCCAACTAGGGCCAGGAGCCTGCAACCGGGGTATGTGCCCTTGACCGGAATCAAACCTGGGACCCTTCACTCCGCGGGCCGACGCTCTGTCCAAACTGGGTAGGGCTGTCTCAACACTTATCAGCTGTTACCTGTGTCACTCATTTTTAATATAATGGAATAATCTTACAGTTTATTCAGGACAGCAGTAAGAGTAGCCTGATATTTAGAGCTGTATCCTGAAGAATCCCTGGATGAACTATCATGATATCTGGGATTTGTTTTAAAATAGAGTCAGGGGGCCGGGTAATTGAAGTGGAGTGTAGTTAACAGTAACACACCGGTGTTAATATCCCAGTTTTGACAAATGTGTTGTGGGTGTGTAAGGCATTAACATTAGGGCAAAATGGGATGAAGGGTATGTGGGAACTCTACCATATTTGCACCTTTCTTATAAATTTTATATTACTTCAAAATAAAAGGTTTATTTTAGAAAAAGAAGAAAATGGAGAGGGGGAAATGAAGCAAATATGGCAGTGTTGAGAATGGTTGAAGCTGGGTGAGCAGAGCTTCGCAGGGCTCCCCTCCATGTGCCTGGTGTCAGAGCAGGGCGCTCCCCACACACTTCTTCATTCTTTTGTTCACATCTTTAGCAACACCGTCATCCCCGACGTTTAGTATTCTAAACACTGTCCACTAACTTCCCTGAGGAAAGAACATGAATTACTTCTAATGGCTAATTCTCATGATGAATTATGATATAATTCAATTGTATTGCAATCATAAAAAGAACTAATAAATGGATGTGGCAGGGTATATTTCATAGCCTTCCATCACCAGTTGCCCTAAACCCCTTTATACTGTGAGTATAATTAGAAGGCATCAATAAAGGGAAATAAAAATGTTGTAGAGTCTGGTTCTCTTCTTTACTAAAAAGGAAAATTAGGCTGATTTATCAAGCAAGTGAGGAGACTATAAGAATATGATTTAAAACAAAGGTTCTTTTACCTCTCTCTCTAAGATGCAGCCCTAGTGACTGAAGGCCAAGGAGAGAGGACTAAAGCGGACTTGACCAAAGAGTTTTGAAAAATAGACTAGTTTCATGTATTCTCCTATAGGAATAATGTCTTGATCTGCCCATCAGTAAAAACATGTCCTTAGAATACCAACAAGCACAGGTTCTAGGATAGGCATCCTACCAGCCTGTCGGGGTCAGACATGTGATGCCGATGGGGCTCCTGTCAATAACACTCGCCAGCTAGCATTTGTTCAGAACTTACCATGTTGTGAGTGCAATAGGCACTTTTTGTGTGTATTTTCTTATTTATCATTCTCTTCAAACTCAAAGAATATATTTGTGAAATTGTAGACAGGAGTTGTCTTGGGTCAGGCTTTAGAAAATAATAATTCTTAATGCAGATCTAAAAAGGAGTATGGAATCAAACTTGTTTTGTTACCTTCCAGGAACATAGTTTCTTAATCATGGCAGCTAATGTTCATGGATTACCAATTGTTTTAATATGAGCTTTTACTATTGGGATGAAAAACCCCCACAAAACTTCATGTATGCTTGTCTAAACTTTGTAATCTTCTTTTCTTTAAATAAGTGTCTTATTTCATCATCTATTGAATCGTTTCTGCATTACTGGTAGTAGAGAGATCGAAGGGTGTGACCCTTAGAGCAGGAGTCACCCACACTCCAGTGTGCTGGCCTCAGATGGGGTCACTCACCTTCAGGATCTGGGTGGCAGCAGCCAGCCTAGCACCACTGCTTTCCTAACCATGCCTTGTTGTGTGGAGTGGGCATATCTATTTTAAGACCATTTGACTGATGCTCTTTTTCCATAACTTCAATGTGAGTTTCTAGTTCCAAAACAGTAGTTTGGCAGTTAGTATAATTTAACAATTCCCCTTGAAAATGTTATAGGGTCTATTTCATATTACTATAAAATAAAAATAAGAAATCACTGAATTTGTCATACTAACAGCAGAAAGTTATTGGAGTAGTGAGCTGAAAGGTGGATTAAAAATAAATCAGGTTTCATGTAAAAATAAGCTGGCTTTTTTTTTTTAAGTGATCTAAAAGGCTTTAAATTGTGTGGCTGAAGGGCTTTATGGCAACTTACGTAGAGTTTATATGAGGAGGTCAATGGCGCTAACCCCTTCACAGTAAAAAATCTACATAGAACTTGTGATTCCCCCCAAACTTATCTGCCAATAGTGCACTGTTGACTGGAAGCCTTCCTGATTTCATAAACAGTTGGTGGACACATATTTTTTACATTATATGCATTATGTATTGTATTCTTATAATAAAGTTAGCTTGAACAAATAAAATGTTATTGAAAAAAATCATAAGGAAGAAAAAATGTGTTTACATATGTATTTATTGAAAAAAAATTGCGTGTAAGTAGACCCATGCAGTTCAAACCTCTATTTAAGGGCCACCTTTATTTTGCATATTTTTCTCAAGAAGTCAGTTCCAGGTATTTCAGTGAACACCTCACGAACACCTCTGTGTCCGCCATAGAAGTCATTTGGATTTCAAGGATATTGCAGGGTTTTACATTGGTTTAACAAGAATTTTTAGTTTTTTTGTACAAATATTTGCCTTAACAACCAAGAAGTACTGCTTGGTTTGCATTTAAAAACAGGGTTTCACAGTAAACCATGCCACATTTGCTAACTGTCTGTACTTTTACATTCTGAGGCTCTCTTTTTCTCCTCTTTTCCAGTTGTTTTGCACTTGTTGTTCAGTAAGGGAAGAAGTTGCAGCATAAAGTTATAGCACAATCCCATGGTTTATGCATCATTTTCACAACTTGATTTTTCTTTCTGAGCCCTGTTCTCCTTACCTGAAGCAAAAGTTGCAGTGACCTTCAAGCGGAATGCCTTTGAGAGCTGATAGTACAGGAGAGGGTCAAAGCACAAGTTTGACACCGCCAGGAGCAGCGTGGCCTCTTTGGCTTTGAAGAGGGAAATCCTGGTTGGACAGTCAGATATGACCTCGGTCTGGCTGAGTGTGTATGGAATTCTGACAATGTGATAAGGAACAAAACATATAATGTAGGCTGTAGTCACTAAAAGTATGTTGACGAGAGCTCTTTTCACATTTGAATAATTTTCATTATCTTTGTTTCTGTAGAGTTGTCGAATTACTAGGCAGTTTGATATCAAAATGATGGCTGAGAAATTTAAAAATATAGCTATACATATGAAGTTTGTCAGCAAATGCCAATTTCTTCCAAACTCCTTTTTGAATTCCATGCATCCTACGTTTGGCTTTTCCTTGATGTCTTTGATGGGAATCACCATGTTTGGCACCATTATCAGAAGGACCATTCCCCACACGACAGCCGATATCATTTTGCCAAATCCAGGTTCTTGTATTCGATAAATCTTGCAGCTGTGTGTCAATTGAAGACAGCGGTCAATGCTGACAAATGCTAAGAAAATAATCGATAAGTACATATTAATGTAGATGAGGCAGGCTGTTACTTGACAGTGGAATATCCTCAGCTTCCAGGGTGCCACACCCAAGTCAACAGCAATTTTCACTGGTAATGCCAGAGTGAGCAGGAAATCGGCTGTAAGCAAATTAATTAAGTATATGCTTACACACCTCTGATTTGTGTTTTTCTGCATGAAAGCCCATGTTGCAAAACAACTTCCAATAATTCCAATAAGGAAAACTAAGTAAAAGAAATATGTGAATGGCTCCAGATCTCTGTAAACTGGACAGAAGGTAGAACTGTTTGTCATCTTGTGCGAAAGTAAGGATGACTCTTCTAAAAAACAAAATTTTAAAAATTTGTTAAAAGAGAAGGGAAGAGAGGTTAGTAATTAAAATTAGAAATTATTTCCTTTAAAATAACTTGAACTAACAATACCTCCGTCCCAATCTTTCTGGTTCTTAGAATTTTTCTGATGAACTCTTCTAAATCATGTGGACTGGTGGGAACATCTTAGCTTATGAGGAAGCCTGGGTTTTCCATGGTCTAGTTTTGTGTTTTTGGGAAATCCCATTAGGTTAGCTTCTAAAAGGCATATTTTTTTTAAAATATATTTTATTGATTTTTTACAGAGAGGAAGGGAGATGGAGAGAGAGTTAGAAACATCGAGGAGAGAGAAACATTGATCAGCTGCCTCCTGCACACTCCCCACCGGGGATGTGCCCGCAACCAAGGTACATGCCCTTGACCGGAATCGAACCTGGGACCCTTGAATCCACAGGCTGACGCTCTATCCACTGAGCCAAACCGGTTAGGGCAAAAGGCATATTTTTGACATTATACTTTTGCCTTCTGATAGCTCTTGTTACCAGTTGGCTTGGAAGTTTGCAGAGGAGATAAGTAAACTGAAATTCTGAGAACTAGAGTTGAAACGAGGGTAAAATGGTTTGGTTGTGGCTGAGCCGGAAGAGCTGAATGAGGCTATCTGGCTTTCTTTGCTTATAGGTTGATAGAACTGCTCGTGCTGGAGGAACCTAGACTGAGGGGGTGGTAAGAGTAACAAAGTTGTACTAAAATTTAAAAGTAGGTATTTCAAAAGTAGGTTATTATCTAACCTACTAGAACATTTTCACAATCAAAATTTTATTTTATTTTTCTTTTTAGCAGAAAGAGTTAAAGGATTAGAGTCCAGTCCAGAATTGATGCTTATTACCTCCCTTTTTCTGGCTCCAGTTTCATGGTATAGACCTGTGGTGTCCACTATGATGGTAGGCTGTCACCATGTGTGACTACTGAGCATTTGAAATGTGGCCAGTCCAGATTGACATGCGTTGTAAATGCAGAATACACACTGGGTTTTAAAGATTTAGTACAAAATATTTTTAAAAATAGTACAAGTAGTAAAATTGTATTCATTTATGCAAATAATACAACAATTAGTAAAATATCTCATTAATATTTTCATACTGAGCACATGTCAAAATATTTTTGATGTATTAGGTTAAATATAATATTAAGATTAGTTTATCCTGTTTCTTTTTGCTATTTTAAATGCAGCTACTAGATAATTTTAAAGTGCCTCTGTGGTTTGCATTATATTTCTATTGGACAGTGTTTGTATAGATGTTTCTGTGTTCTTAGTATTTTTGAGAAATTTCAAGAATGTATTTTAAAGGCTTCTAGAACAAGGATACATGACATTGGTAACAAAACTCTCGAAGAAAAGCTCAATTATATTAGTATCAAAACGCCTAATGTTAACACTTCAGAGTGTTTTCTTTCTCTTTCACTGTGGGTTTTGAGGCAGTCAAGCTAGAAGTAGAAGACATGCCCTTAGAACCACTGTGATTTACACAATACCATGTTCCTCCAAGTCTGGAACATTGGGTGTTAGAAGCACAAGTTAAACCAATTGGACTTCACTCACTGCTTTTGCCCTGGTCCAGTGCCCCTGATACCCCAAGGTCGCGGGCACTTCTTTCTGGGGCTGCTTCTTGAGATGCTCCCTCCTCATGCATATTAAGTACCTTTCTTTTGTTTTAACAAGAAGAGTATTTTTGTGTTTTAGCCATAAAAATGGATAGATAACTTTTTAAATGTAGTAACTAGTAACTATAGTGGCTGATTAAGAAGGCCAGATAAGCCTGTTCACTCAAACTTCCCTTAAAAAAAAATAACCAAAACTGCTGAAGCCTTTCTGAATCTTAATTCTCCTTAATTATTTAATGATCCATTGTGCGCATCTTGGGATGGAACAGTATGCAAATGGATTGATAAGGCAGCGGTACATAAATCTTTCTAAATTCATGTCATGGAAAGAGTACATGTCCTTCCCACTTTCCAACCTGAGAGAGGATTTTAGAGTCCACAAATGGTCATAAACTCAATGGAAACAATTAAGTACTGACTTTGGGTCTGGCACTATGCTAAGGACTTTACATGAACCTATTAACCTTCCATCATTACTACCATGTAGGTATTATTATTCCTGTTTTCCAGATGAGAAAACTGAGGCACAATAGGTTAAGTAATGCCAAAGATTATATGGTTGGATATAGAGCCAGGATTCCAAATCGGGCCATCTGATCTCAGAAACCACTCCAAAAGTCTGTCCCAACAATAATAGTGTTAACAATGATGATGGTGATGGTAATTATTATTATTATTATTATTATTATTATTGCCAACCTTTACTAAGGGCAGCAACTATATTCTAAGCAATTTTCATTCTTAATTTTTTTCTAAATACTAATAAAAGAAGTTTAGGCTTCATGTATTTTTATGTTTCATTTTATAATATATATTACAGTGGAACCTCTTTTCTCAAACTTAATTTGTTCCAGAAGGCTGTTTGAAAACCAAATCATTTTTCCCCATTAGTAAATTGAGTTAATCTGTTCCAGACCCCCAAATGATTTTCTGGTTTAACCTTTCTTGCATACAGTACATGTCTACTGTACTGTTTAATGTATAAATAAACACTTAAAAAACAAAAAGGACATGAAATGTAAATGAAAATTTAACAAAAAGGAAAGGAAATGTACAGTAAAAAATGAAAATTTAACAATTAAAAGCAAAAAAGCATGAAAATATTCACAGCACAATATCCTGAGGTAAACTGACTCATATTCACACATTCTCTCCTTTGTCACCTGAGAGATGTGTGACTGATCATAACAGTATCAGCATGAAAGGGTTGTCAGATTGAGAAGCAAGTTGTTTGAGATGGGAAATGTTCGAGAAATGTGGTTCCACTGTATTTCAAAACCAAACCAAGGTTCTATCCTTGAAACCTAACCTTTACTTTTGAAGTTCCCATGACCTAGTCTCTCCATACCTCCCTACTGTCTTTGTCCCTCCTCGCTACTTTCGATCGGTGGGATCTCCTCTGTTCTGTGAACTGTTTCTTCTGCCTTTGTATTTTTGGTTGTGATTAAATTGTGGGATCAAAGGACTTTAAGGATGGAGTGAACCTTTATTGATAGCATTTAGTCCAATCCCCAGATCATTTGAGGAAACTGAGGTCTGCACTTGGGCTGCTCAAGGCTTCACAGTTAGAGCAGGCTAGGCTCTGACCTTGATTGCTTTCTGGACGTTCTGCCTTTATCCTCCCTAAACTGGAGTCCTGCCTATCCTGAATGCCTGGAGGAAGCTCTTCACATCTAAAGTCTAACCCAGGCTTCACTGACTTCCTTAGGACTGGTTTTCCATAGTAACCAGTGTGTGTGCTGTGACTTCCTGAGTACCTTTTCTTCTCTGGCCAGAAGGTAACGGTGCAGATTGGCCCCTGTCTCCCATCTTTGTTCATTGTTCCTTTATAAGGAACTAGGATTTTGGCTTATGTGTTTGTATTTCAAATACTACATAATAGTAACATACTAATGTGCTTTTTTATTTTATTATTTTTTTAAGTTTGTTTTTATTGATTTCTGAGAGAAGAAGGGAGAAAGAGAGAGAGAGAAATGTTGATGAGAGAGAAACATCTTTTGGCTGCCTCCTGCACGCCACCCACTGGGGGTCGAACCCGAAACCTGGGCATGCGCTCTGACCAGGAATCGAACCAGCGACCTCCTGGTGCATGGGACAGTGCTCAACCAACTGAGTCATACTGGCTGAGCATAATGTGCTTTTTAAAAGTGCCCCATTGCTCATACCATTATACAATAAAGCCCCATTTTATAGAAGAATGTATAGTAAACATGGATTAGAGAAGGATTGTTTGGATCAATTAATATTCTCTAACTGGCACTGACCATATATACCACCCATAAGTAATTTATTTAAAAATAATCGCAGTGTGTTTATGTATTCAATAATGCTTGTGAATCACATAGTGCTTTGCAGTGGCTTCCATCAACCTGTCTAGATTGCAACAGAAACCAAATCTCTTCATTTAAAGTTTTGGTTATGTCAGTTAGGGGTTAAATTATACTATAATAACACCTGTGTTATCAATAATGAATTTGAAAACTAAATGCTTGATTAATATTTTGTCAGCCACTTATTAGCCTGTGGAAATTTGTGGTATCCAGAGGTACTCCAGCAAAATGGAAAATATTTCAAGTGTCTTCTTTGTTTGGGTTGAAAGCCCATTGCTTAGAAAATAAACACATTAGGTTTTTTTATGGAAGCCACAATGGAATTTTCTTGAAATTACCTATTATAATTTGTGTAGTAGGAAGTCATTTTAAGAACCATTGTGCCCTGTTGTGAGGACCAACGTGGCCTTTATTTATCCAGTTGTAAAATTGAGTTACTTAATAGCAATGCTCACCTGTAAGTAAGTATTCAGCTTTGTATGGATTAAGCTGTCTTTCTGAGAATGGATGGGGTCTTCAGATAGGAGAACATTATAGTGTAGTTCACAGTGAGAATCTACTTAGAGATTAATAGCTGGTGCTTTCTTACCCAGGAACCTTGCTACATGTTGATATTTCCAATTACATGGTTTAAACACCGAAAATCATAGCTTTTCCTTCCAAGGAAAGACAGTAAAATATATGAAGTATTTAAAAAGACATACCTGGGGGTATATTCCCGGAGCCTCAGTGGCCACTCTCCAAGTCCTCAGAGAAGCATGTGCTGTTCGTCTGGCTGTAGCAGTAACAGCTCTATTGAGGGACTGCTGGTTGTACTAAAAATTTCCTTTCCTTTTGTGTGGTTTTAAATGTTGCATATTGACGTAGATGAAACTGTGGTTTGCAAATAGTTTAACTGTATGAAGGTCTACTAAGGAGGTTCTTTTCAGTTTTGTGTATGCTTTCTTAAGCAATTCAGAGTTGTCTATTCTAATTTTAGTGGAAGGATTTTTATTTGTCCATTGTAGTGCCTAATTGTTTTTTTTTAAACACCAAAGCTGTGTTTTTCATCATAATGATTTTAAAGAACATTCATTTTTATGCCTTGAAAGGGGTTATGAGTTACAGATACTAGGTGTTCAAGCAAATTTCTTTAGTTCTACATATTGATACCCATCAGCCTTTCAAAGTTATAATTTTAAAATAATTGTTGCAGTATGGATCCTGCTAGAGACATCTTTTAATAAACAAACAAACAAAAAAGATGTGATTTGACATTGTCTGGTAAACTATTCTGTGTTTTATTTTTCTTCATTCTTTTTTGTTCATTGTAGAAAAATCTGGAAATAGAAGAGGTAAGTCACTATATACAGAGATAACCCCTGTTAACATTTTTAGTTTATACATTTTAAAAATTTTCTGTATGTATATACACCCACTTAAAAATGTTATTATATTGTACATACTGGTTCATAGTTTGTACTTTTTTCATTCCATATGTTGGATCTGTTTTCATAAGTTACTAGAGTAGACATATAATGAGTATTTGCCAATTTGGCCCAAACAGCTTAATGAATTGAGACAGTTAATTTGTAATTATTAGATTGTATGCGACTAGGCATTTTAAATGTTTGGGTCATTGTTCATTCTGCCTGTGGGTGAGCAAATATTTAGTGAGTGTCTGAATGGAGCCCAGCATGGTGAGGGACCTAACAAAAAGTCACTCTCTTATCCCTGTCATCTATTGGCTCTGTTAGGTTATGTTTCTTGCACGAGGGTAGCTTTTACAAAACATAATATAGAGTGTACATTTCAAGGACATTTTAGGAAGTTCTAAGTCTGCTGGTACAAAGTCGATTTGTAGTTGAGCCATTGCCTGGTCAATCATGGTCTGCTTTCTTCTGTTGCTTCATTGGTTTGGTAGATGCTTTGGTTTCATCTCTTTTTCTCCTAATAATTCTTAGTTCCCAAATAATTAGAAAAAAGTTCAAAGGAAACTCTCCAGAGTTTAAAATTCAGTCCCTTTTGGTATTAACTTTAAAAAAGAAAAATTTCTCAAAAGACTAAATGGGACTTGCCAAGCTGAGGTAATGAATTTCGAAGAGTCAAAGGGACCTTTTGAAGAAAGTAATGTGAGGATGCTTATGATGATTGTGGCCATTTGTTTAAGATATTCTGGTGTCCTCCAAATCCAATTATTGTTTTTATTTTGCAAAAGAAGAGGTTCTTTTTTTACGTATATTCACTTAAGTATTAGAGGAAAAACCCAAACTCTCTCCAACTTTGTATTTGATTTTGGTTCAGAACCAGTGTTAACTTTCATTATGATAGAGCTAGGAAATGATCCGTCTTTTAAGATCTGTGTGGAACAGCACTCACTAAAACACTTCAGAAAAGACTTGCCTGCAGATGGTCAGGTAAGGGAGCAGTATGGTCAGGGTTGACATTCAGTGGGCGATATAGAGGCTGAGATGGAGAGAATTTGGCGAGATGGAGTTGGCTGCCAGCTGAGTGGTGAATGATTTTAGCATGGTGTGAAGGAAAATGGAAATAAACAGATTTTGGTAAAGTTGTTTGTTGTTGTTTTTTAGGTTGGTGTATTTACTAGTATATGTTTACTTCCATGTTCACTTTGGGGTATAGACAGAGTTAAGAAGTACATTCGACTGTCCTTAAAAACCCACTAAGGCTTTTGTGTCTGGATTGCCAAACGTTCAAGAGCTGAAGTACCCCAGATCTCAGAGTTCTGTTTCCTTTTTGGAATAGTGGGAAACCACACTTTTAATAGTGAAACTGAACCAGGTTCTTCCTTTTGAGAATGAGCTTGAGGCACCTTATGTTTTGTGGAAGTTTGTTCACAGTGGAAATATGCTTTGGGGGCTGTTGTCCCTCTTTTTGTTTTAACATGAGTTCCCTTTGAATTTTCATAAGTTGCCTTTTTCTGTTTCATTAGGACAAATGTTGTTCAGGTCGTCTCTTGTTAGTGTTCTAGGAAATGACACATCACCACTAACCCAGTACCTCAGAAACCCAAGTGGGCAGGAGTGAGGGGAAGTTATTTTTCCCTTACGTTGGTCATGGCAATACTTTTTATTGGAAATGATGCATTAGTTACTTTAATGGATATTTTGTATGTTTAAAATAAAAATGGATGTTGTATCCAGTTTGGCTCAGTGAATAGAGTGTCAGCCTGCTGACTGAAGGTTCCCAGGTTTGATTTCAGTCAAGGGCACATGCCTGGGTTGTGGGCTCGATCCACAGTAGGGGGTGTGCAGGAGGCAGCCGGTCAATGATTCTCTCTCATCATTGATGTTCTGTCTTTCTCCCCCTTTCTCTTCCTCTCTGAACTCAATAAAAAATATATTAAATAAATAAATAAAAATGGAAGCTAAATTGCCCCAGAATTGAGAAAGAAAATCTTTTGTGGTTATCTATCCCCTCTGTCCACATGCATCATGCTTTTGATTTTATTGGACACAAATACCAAACAACATTTCATATTTCAGTAGAAACATAATTTTTAATGTTTAATTTAACATCATTAAAATTTGCCTTTTAAACATAGCATGGGAGGCCTTTGGAACTAATGAGGAGGGAAACTGAGTGTTGGGGTATGTGGCCACTGCCATAGCCAGACACAGTCCTGGGAACTTCTTTAAAGAATCCATGACACGTAGGAGATTCCTCTCTAACAGCTGCACAGTTAGACTCCAGTGTCCCAGCACTTACTTATGCTTCTTAAATGAAAGTGTTGGGCAGAAACAGTGGTTCTAAAGCAGGTCAGCAATCCCCCATTTAGTGTTTACCACGATTCGAATTTGCATGCCGTCAGGCAGTGGAACAGTATTCCACTGTTGCCACTCTTCTCGTGGAATTTGCAAGTCAGGATGCTCTCAACTCAACAGTAACTTGCATCCTGAAACTTTTTATGATCCTTGGTTAATGAATGCTGGTGAGCAAAACATCTCTCTAGCCGCTTGTGTGGCTCCGATCAGCCTTCTCCTTGGAGCCACTGTGCTTTTGGTTTATACTTTGAAAGTTTTTTAAAAGCACACAATTCACTTTCCCACCTGGATCACTCCAAAGTCTTTTTCCCGACCCTAGTATCTTCAAATTTGTGAGTGATGGACATAATGGACAGAGTGGTTTTAAAGTGTGGTGCAAATATAGCTCTTCCAAGATGTTGCTTTGTCTGCATGATTTAAGCTCTGCCTTTGTTTGTTACCTTTTTAATGAAATGGAGTAAAATTTGGAAATGTTTTGAAGGCAAAGGTGTTTTGCACATTCTGGTTATGAGTGGCTGAACATATTCCCTGTCATTATCCTTGCCCCTCCTTTTGCTCTTCTGCCTTTTTATTGACAGTACAATGCTATTTTAGGGTCAACACACAGTCCATATGGCCTTTCTGCTGTGAGGTGCGACTGCTCTTTGACCCAGGGTTATAAAATAATTAATTGGAAGGAAATACTTAAAAGAGAACTTGTAAAGTTTATCTTGTTTTTTTTAGTCACTGAGTTCATTTTTTTCTTTTCCACTTGTGTCATTATGCTCCCCTTTTAATGAAGTATGAGTAACACATTTTCAAAGCTCATAACTCTCCATTTTACAACCTGTTGTTACTTTCCAGGAGGAGGTTCTTTAGAGGAATTCTCCCTTTCTTTTCATGTGAATCTTTGTTTTTTGATGAAGTAAAGAAAAAATCCAGCAACAAATATTTACTGATTTGCAGGCTGCCTCCTTAGCGCCCATGCTAGGGAATATTTTTGTGACTTTTAGAAGGTTACAACGTAGAAGGGTGACAAGAATATGCAGGACCTGCAGTGATCCAAAATTACTACTGGCTGTTAGAACCTGTGAATCCAGGAGATGCCCAGGTAGGATGAAGGGATGCTTCTGAGAAGTGGGAGGATGGTGGCATGCTTGGGGCATGACGGGCATGACTGGGGAGTGCGAAGTGTGTTTGGGGACTCGCAGGCATTCTGGGTACTTGGAGTATCTGAGCAGGATCTGTGTGAGGACAGAGATGAGACCAAATCTTGGATCGACCTGGTCAGCCTTGGATGCTTGAGTAAGCAGGGGAGAGCTCAGGAAAGTTGTGTGGCAGTGCAGCAGTAGGTAAAGCTGCGGTGTTAGAGTATGTGGGGTCAGGGGAGAAAGTGGAAGGCAAAATGCCCGTTAGAGGACTAAAGTCATGTTAGCTGAGAGGCTTTGAGGATTGGAAATGCATGGCAGTGGGAGGGGAGCGACCAGGGTTCAATGCTGGGGAGGGAAGTGTGAGGAAGAGAGAATCGGGTGTGTTGACTTCCTGTGTTTTTAGTGCCATCTCATTATTTTTATGTAGCGCAGATTGCTCTTTATTCCTCTCAGTTAGATTTTAAATATTCCTCAGTGCTTTGTCTGTCACCACCCGGACATCTGAATGTAAACTTGTAAACACTTCAGAAGCTCTCATTTTGAACAACGTTAATGGAAACACTGCATTTCCTATAAAAATTACCTTTTTATTCTGCTAAATGCTTTAATAATATCAAACATAATATAATGTACTTTAAAAAAATGATACCAGGCTGAAATTGGCTTGTACTTTAGAAACAAAATGAAGATTAACTCCTCATTTCAGTGAGAGGTCAGAGAGCTGGTATTCTCTCAGAAAGCTAAGGACTCAGTGTGGAACATGAATAATTAATAGCTTGAAAAATCTGCAAGTTACAATTTACTGTAGAAAAAGGATTATCAAGAAATTGTTTTAAGTAATATGACATTTTATATGGAGATAATAAAAGCCACCTTTTGGTGTCCTTTATTTCCAGGGATGAAATGATAGGGAATAAGCCTGTGGGACTTTGCTATGCACTTTGAGGGCTTAGCAGTTCACCAGTGACTGTGATTTGGGAGGGAGAGGGAAATAGTGTAGCTCTGGGCTTCCCCGGATGTACTGATTCCATGGGGGTGGAACAGCAGGATGACCCTGACCCAGAGTCCTGCATTGTTGGTCCCCAGAGCACTGAATAAAGATCATGTTTTGGAAGTGGGGTGAGGTGGGTTGGGAGATCTTAACTTTGACCATGAGAGGAGTCAGAATTATACAGTGAGGGCCTTCAAAAGGTAACAAGTAGCCTCATAAACTTTACTGGTGAAAGTAGTTTTTATATCTGTTGTTGTGGTTGAGATGGGCCTCATTTTATAACTCTGCCTCCTGCTTTTCCCTCAGCTTCTGGAGGTGGGGAGATGGGAATGGAGCCACTTCTATTCCTTATCAACCTGGAAACCTTATTTCATGGAATAATTTTTTTCTTTTCTGTAGCTAGTTTATCAATAAGGTTTAAAAAATATATTTACTACTGATAAAGTAATACAATATTTAATCATTTTGTACAAACAGTGCTATGAAATGATTGAAGCATTTTTCAGAGTGGCTTGTGAGAAAGGAAAACTACATTTTGTTGAAGTGTTTTCTGGTGGGGATTTCTTGTCATGAAACGGAAGTCTGCGTGCCATTGGCTACTTGCAGACAATAGGTGACCGAGAGGAAATGGTGGTTTTCCTTTGAAGAGCACTGGGTGCCGCCGGTCCCCCCACGCAAGCACACACCTCACATGCTGCTTCTCAGAGCACAGCCCTGGTCCTTGTGGAGGGGATGACCTGTTTTGTGTGTAATTGTAAGGATGCAGTCTCCTGGTGTTACAGATATGGTCTGTATGAATAAAGATACTGACTTTCCTTCTTTCTCCAGTGTCAGTTAGAGGATGCAGGGCGGTTAAGGACAGACTACATCAGATGGTAGCACAGCTGGTGTAAGGTGTTTTCTAGAGTTCCTGGACTACTTTTTAAGCTAATCCAAATATATCAGGAGTTTCTCATTTGTACGTGACAAAGAAATACAATGAAAATAGCGCTAATGCTATTGAAGAGATTCATTAGCTGAGTGTCCACAGTTGTAGGACCGGCCTTAGTTGAGGCTGATGAAGGGCCTTTGTCACTGAACCAGGGCTGGGTTGGTAACACTTCTCTGGCCACCTTGTGCAGGGTTAGTTTCAACTCAGAGAAAGCTGTGAGCTTTGCTTTTGTGGTGGCCGATGGAAGAAGCACTCGGGACTTTGCATGTTGACAGCAAGCCCTTTGGAGAATTTCTCAGGAATTTAGGACTTGCTCACATTGAGTCCTGTTCCCTCTCAGCTTGTGGCCAGTGGAGTTGGACATGCTGGTTATCAGTTATGGCCTCATCCTGAGCTCAGGGACAGGATGGGCTCCAGGACTGTATATGGCTGAGAACAGGGAAAGGTGAATTTCCCAAAGGAAAAAAGTTTGCTTTGACTGCTGAGAAAAGAGAGTGTGGAAGCTGAGGATATAACCAACAAGTGGGCATTGCTGATGATGACATTTTGTAAAAGACAGTTGCAAGGTGAGGGCCTCCCTGTGGGTGGGTTTCATGTGTAACCTTTTTATATGACTGTGATTTCTTTGTTTCTTGATTCTTGTGTCAAATGTTTCTTTTATAAAAACACTTAGAGTATTTTTGTATAGGTGGTTGAATCAATTACGCATCAACATAGAGCCTCAGTTTAGTTCAAGAAAACATGAGGATTCCTATTAAGGGGCATTTTCGTTTCAGTCAAGAGCCACTTCTGAGTCCCTTTCTATTAGATTTCTGCATGTAAGATGTTGCAGAGCAGCTGTCGGTATATCATTCTATCCACACATATGTTTTCTTTTCACTGCTGCCCTGGAATTCAAAATTGTGTGGCTTGAAAACACATGGACCCAATTGACTGAAGCTAAGTGCCTGTTGGCCTCTTGGTGAGGCTCAAGCTCTCAGCTCACTATCATCTTTTTTTCTCTTTCTTAATTATGTTTTTTATTGATTTTTCTTTTAGAGAGAGTGGAAAGGAGAGGGAAAGAGAGATAGAAACATCAATGAGAGAGAAACAGAAATTGGTTGCCTCCTGCACACCACCCACCGGGGATCGAGTCCACAACCCAGGCATGTGACCAGGAATTGGACTGACAACCTCTCCATACATGGGTCGACACTCAACCACTGAGCCACACCGGCCAGGCTCACCGTCATCTTTAACATTCTCTATTTTCCATTTTCTTACAACCAAACTTATATTGCCATCCTTTCCACCACAGCACCTGGGTGTAAACACCGCACAGGCAGCCTGACACTTGAAGACCTGCACTATAGCTTTCTCTACAGAAGGGCCTGGAGTGTGTATTCCCTGTCGCCTGCCTGCACTGGTGCTGGTGACCTCCTCGAAGTCAGAGTTAACTATTGTTGCCAGTGCTCTAACAGCTTCCTTTTGTTGTAGCCCTGACCTGAAAGTTCTAAGATGTAGTAACTGTCCCCCACCTCTTGCTTCACAGAATCCTTATCTGCATTGCATGTTGTTTTTGAGAAATCTTGCCTTTTACATTGCTGATCTGTTTTGGCACGGCGATACAAAGGCATTCTCCATGTGCAACCCACCTTCTTTTTGTTACTTTCATTTTGCCCGTGCCCAATAGGGGCATTTAAAACACCGGCATTTAGTAATTTGTCCTGGTCCATGGAAAGGATGAAGAATAAACTCAGTCAATTTCTTTTGCAAATATATTTAGCCAAACAAGTAGAGCAAGCTTAGTTTTAGCTAGCATGCTTATAGTAGGTTGGCAATTGTGTTTTTTGACCCAGAGTTGGGAGCAGGGAGCTTTTACAAGGATAAAAAGTGGGCACAGAGTATAAAAACCTTCCCATCTCTTCTTCAATTTAAGGTGTGCTTTCTGAGTTTTGCCTAAAATCTGATGGAGCATATGCAATACTTATTTGAAAAATGAGAAGCAAGTACAATTTGAGTGTCCTTATTAACATGCATAATTGAGTGCCTTAAACAAACCACCCCATGTCTTGACTATGAGGAAATCTGGTAATATTTTTTTCATATCTTGATTATTTTTTTAAAAATGAGACTATTAAAAATAGTTTCTTTATTAGTACATATACAGTAAAGAATGATATATATATATAAACATGACTTACAAAAATGTTTGAAAAGAACATTGGAAAGATGGGCTGAATGTCTTCCAGCTGGTTACTAGCAAAGAAAGATTGTTTTCATAAGTCATAAGCCAGCAACCATAGCCCATTTTAATTCATTGTTTTTCATAAAATGTGATGTGTAAGTTTTCATTTTATGAATAACTTGTCACTCATTATTATACATTTTAGATATTTTTTTTATATAGTCCAGTTGCTTTCTAAGAAAGTTGTTTCCTCCTCCCCAGGGAAGAATGTATGTGGCCAGCCTGAGAGAGAGAGAGAGAGGGAGAGAGAGAGAGAGAGTCTTTCTCCCAGGCATCCTGTTTTTTGTCCCTGCCATGAACAGGAGAAGTCGTCGCAACACGTGCCCATATCTAGCTTCCCTTGGTCGAGCCCACTTTTTTTTTTTTAATCAATGATGAGAGAGAATCATTGACCGGCCGAGAGAGAGAGAGAGAGAGAGAGAGAGACATCAATGATGAGAGAGAATCATTGACCGGCCGAGAGAGAGAGAGAGAGAGAGAGAGAGACATCAATGATGAGACAGAATCATTGACCGGCTGCCTCCTGCACAGCCCCTACTGGGGATTGAGCCTGTAAACTGGGCATGTGCCTTTGACCAGAATCAAACCCGGGACCCTTCAGTCCACAAGCCAACACTCTATCCATTGAGCCAAACCAGCCAGGGCTTGAGCCCATTTTTAAAAATACTCTAACACCGGAACACCAGGCTCATGAAGTGGCTTAACTAATCTCTGCAGAGGACGTTATTAAAAATGTATTTATATCATCCTCAAAAAACTATCAGAAAAAATTACATTTTTTATTGCAAAGTACATAATTTATATCTATTTTCCTTTGAAATGCCATGAGATAGATCAGTGGGTGTCTCCTTTTTCTCCTTCAAATCAGACAGCTTGACTCCCTCACTACAACAGGCTTCTAGCTGTTGCCTGCCTTTAAGTTGGTCTTGATGATCCTGTTGAAAAAACTTCCCATAACTTACTAACTTAATTATTGCATTTAGAGAGGAAACACACCCCTGAGAATTGTCTTGAATGCTGTCTATTTTCTTATTTGCTGCTTAAAATTCTATATTAACTGACCAGATGAGTGTTTAATTTAAACCTTCTATTTTGGTATGATTGAAAAATGTATGTATTATTTTTTCTTTGATGTCACACAAAAGCATGGAAACTTACGTTTTAGTTATTATACTAATTGGAGAGTAATGCTCAGTGACGATGCTTACTATCACGGCCTTTCCCCATTTACTCCTCTCATTGTGTAAATGAAAGTTACAACACGCACACAGGGACCTCATTTGAAAGGTGGGAAATCACAGCGTATCTGTGCTTTCGTGCATCGTATTTCCCCTCCTGGTTTTGGAAGTTTCCGGATCATGCTGAGCTTTTAGTGGGATGTGCAATTTCTTACACAAGATTTCTCTAAATGGCTGGCATAGAAAGAAATAAATAATGGGGTCTAAGCACACATTTGCTGCTGACAGTATCAGAGTGAATTCTTTCACATAGTACAAGATTTCCTTGGACTGGCAGCTGAAAGGGGCTCCTGTTTGGCTCTGTGTGTAGGAGATTCTGGCAATGTGGTAAGGTACAAAGCAGACAAAAAATACTAGCATGATGCTGAATATATTGCGGCTGGATTTCCTCTTGACGGAAATGGAATTCTTTCGGGACTTCATGTGGGACTTGAAGATTTTCCTTGTGATGGCAGTGTAGAAAATGATTAGCAGAAGGAACACAATCCAGAAGATGCCCACGAAGATGTAGTTTGATGCCTTGTGCCACTTGAGTCCCAGTTCGTTTTTAAGCTCCATGCATTTTACATGTGTGCCGTCCTTAGCACTCTGGTTGGTCAGGATAATGTTGGGGATAGCGAGCAGGAGCATCAGCAGCCACACCGTCACTGCCAGGAGTTTGCTGTAAGTCACCGACTGGATGAAAGAAGTCAGGAGAGGCTTCACGATTTTGTAATATCTGTCGAAGCTGATGAGCCCAAAGAACATGATGCCGACATACATGTTGACGTAGAAGAGCACGGCCGACACCCGGCATACAAACACGCCCAGCTGCCAGGGGCCCAGGCCCGAGTCGCTGAGGATCTTGAAGGGGAAGGTCAGGCTCATCAGGAAGTCGGCAACCACAATGTTCTTGAGATAGACGATGAAGCTCTTGGAGCTGGGCACGTAGCAGAAGACCCACCCCGACACACCATTGAGCAGCACGCCCGCGATGAAGACCAGCAGGTAAAGCACAGGAATGATTTGCTGTGTTATGACGGGGTTTTGGGAGCAGGACTCCGCAGGAGGCTGAGAGGTGGTGGAATTCAACATTTTGTGACTTCCGAAGGAGCGGCCTGGAAAATGAAGTGAAATATTCACTCAGGGCACTTAGGGCCTTCCAAGTTAATTGCCAGATAATAAAGCAAAAGACAGTGAATATAGCCCTGACCGGTTTGGCTCAGTGGATATAGCATCGGCCTGCAGACTGAAGGGTCCCAGGTTCGATTCCGGTCAAGGGCATGTACCTTGGTTGCGGCCACATCCTCAGTGGGGAGTGTGCAGGAGGCAGCTGATCGATGTTTCTCTCTCATCGATGTTTCTAACTCTCTATCCATCTCCCTTCCTCTCTGTAAAAAATCAATAAAATATATATATAAAAAAAAGACGGTGAATATAATCAGACCCACCACATTCTTGAAATGAAGTTTTTTTTATATATTAGACACCTCCCCTTCTACCTCCCTGCTCTTTTTTTTTTTTTTTTTTTAAGGCAAACACAGAGTAGTCAGGTGACAGGAAAGAAAAATTGGCAAAGCAGATTTTTGCCAACCCTAAGAACCTGAGAACCCTAAGCATTTCCTTAAATGACAGTGGTTCCCTATAAAACTCCAAAATCCTAGGACATACTCATTTAAATATAGTCTCAAAAGGTAATAAAACGGAAAGCAGAGAACTAATCTGTTTCTGTTTCATTTAATTCAGAGCTTTGTTAATATACTAGGTTTAAGAGCTGTTGATACAGACCTTACTCTTTAGAAAGCCTGCCCTGCACATATTGTGGGCACAGCACAGTGTCTGGCAAGCATACACACCCACTGTAGCTGGTGTTACTGATATGGGGCTCTGGATACCTTTCAGAAGTGAGCTTTTCTCTGTGTTTTTTTTTCCCATTGAAAAAGTGATTTGGAATACCAGCACAACAACAAGTACCGTAGACCTAAGAAATGCTTTCACAGTGCATTTTCAGTCTGCCCTGTTCAGTACGGAGCCACGGCCACATGCAGAGCCCTGGACCTGTGGCCGCTCCAGATGGAGATGTGCAGCAAGTACAGAGTGCATACCGAGTTCTACAGACTTTGTACAAAAAAAGAAAGTAAAATGTCTTGATATTTTTAATATTGACCACATTTGAAATAATATTTTAGAAATATTTGTTAAACAAAATGTATTAGTAATCTTAATTTTACTTTTTAAGAATATGGCTACTAGAAAAGTTAAAATTACATATGTGGCTTGCATCGTACTTTTATTGGACACCACTGTTGTAGGTATTACCCAGAACCTTCTGTGTTAGGGGCGCCTACATGTTTTTGCTGATGTCAGCCATACTGATTCAGGGCACAGGGAAGAGTAGAACTGCTTTGAAAGACTATTTGATGCATCAAAGAAAATATTTACTGCCCATCTCATATATAAAACAACATCTTGCCCTCAGGAAGAAATTCTGGCTCTTTAATGCTGAGCTCTCCATTTGGTCTGATGGCCGCTCCCTCCTCCTCCAGTGAATTCCAGCTGTCTGGGACCCTCCCACTCCTCTAGGCTCCACGAATTCTCTCATTTTGGACCTTTGCACAAACTTTCATTTGTGTGGAAACTCCTTTGATACCTTCTTGGTGGGTAACTTTCCTTCATCCTTGAGGCCTCAGCTTGAGTATCAGTTTTGTCAGGAGACTTTTCCACCCAAGCCTTGGAGGGTGCCTGGGTGTGGGGCTCCACCTGTGTGCTCAGAGTTCTGTGCCTCTCTCCTGTCACAACACAGCTCTCTGCCTTTGTTTTTTGTTTCTCCTCTTTGTGTAGGCTCCTTTACAGGGGAGAGACCATGTCATGTTTTACCATTGTATTCCTACCATATATTTAGAATGTTAGGTAGTTAAAGTATTTGTGAAATAAATGAATATGTAATATGGGAATATAAGACACGAAGCCCTCCTCTCAAGAAATGTAGTCAGAGGTCCGGGAAGGATTGTGAAGGACTGTGGGTTCCTTGAGGTCAGAGGATGTAACTTGTTTGTCTTTGTATTTCTGGTTAAAGCACTGCTTTTCACACAGGGAGTGAAGTCAGTGAAATAAAGGTAGTGTGAGAAAGTGGAACTGTGGGATGTGAAGTCCAGTCACATCCCAAATAAAAGATCACAATGCAAACTGTGTGCTGCTTCTCACAGATCCTGCCTCTGCGCACGCTTCACGCCACACGGCACAACCGAAGCCACTTGACTGCCAGTCCCTGGCCTGCCTTTCGAAGCAAATCTTGTCCTGTCCCCTGCATATCTGGTCTGATCATGCTCGTTTACCCTCATTTGCTACTTTGCAGTTGCAGGTCTTCTGTGGCTTTTTTCATGTTTTAAAAAGCAAAGGGCCCACATTTTCTATTTTTAACATCCACTGTGACAGATTCTGTGTCTAGTAATTATTTTTCTTGTTCCTTGGTGGTCAGATGCAGCTTAGTCTAAGAGCCAGTCTCACAGGGGTATGCTGTATGCTCCCAGGGGTTCCAGTTCTGGGGACACAGCCCCTCCCTCCTCAGCCAGTGTGCTAGAGTTTAAAATATTAAGTAAAAAAAAAGTACATGTTAATGCATTTGAAGCAGAGGAAATATTAACTATATAAAATGCAATTATCTAATGAAATAGTGAAGAATTTTCAGAAATCTTTGATAGCCAAATTTTACTTCTTATAGAAACACTAGAGGCCCAATGCATGAAAATTCATACAAGAGTAGGCCTTCCTTCCCCTGTCTGCTGGCACCGGCTTCCCTCCGGCACCCGGGACCTGGCTTCCCTCCGGCTGCCGGGGGTAGAGGGGGACTGACGGGGTCTCTTGCTGCCCTGGCCTCGGTTTTCCTGGCCAGAAGGGACAGTCTGAAGTGTTTCATTGTGTCTCTGCCCTCCCTAGGCAGGTTTCATTCTGTCACCTCACCAGCTCAAGCCCTCCTTCCTTAGGGGTTGGGTGGAGTACAGGGTGATCCAAGGCTTACCTCCCAGAACTCTGGGCCTCACAGTAACCCTCTCCCAAAGAAACCCATGGGGCATGGCTTTTGTCCAGGGGAAGTCGCACATCTGGCTCAAGTCATCTGTGCCCCGGTGGTCATCTTGTAGAAGGCTGGGGTACCCACTGGAATCTCTAACTTGCTAGAGGTGGGGAGCAATTGTGGGAAGCAAAGATGCACTGTCTCCCCACAATCTTTAGTTACCCAGAGCTGGGTGGGGGCCAGTTTAGCACCACCTTCGGCAGACAGTCCTGGGCTGCTTCCCTCCGGCTGCACCCGAGACCCGAGTTACTTCCCTCCAGCCGACGGCAGGCACCCTGGACCCGGGCTTCACTCTGGGTCCGGATTACTCCGGAATAACATCTGGTCTAGTTAGCATATTACCCTTTTATTATTATAGACTAGAGGCCTGATGCACGAAATTCGTGCAAGAGTAGGCCTTCCTTCCCCCGGCTGCTGGCACCGGCTTCCCTCTGCCACCCGGGACCTGGGCTTGCTTCCCTCTGGCCGCCTGCAGGCACCCGGCAACTGGGACCCAGGCTGGCTTCCCTCCGGCTGCCGGCTTTGTCCGGAAGGACATCTGGAATGACGTCCGGTCTAATTAGCATATTACCCTTTTATTATTATAGACTAGAGGCCCAGTGCACAAAAATTTGT